CTGTGGCTCAAGTGGTAGAGCTCTAGCCTTGAGCTGAAGAGCTGAGGGACAGCACCCAGGCCCAGAGTTCAGGCCCCACGACCGGACCCAAAAAAACAAAACAAAACAAAACAAAATTCCATTGTGTGTGTGTATGTATGTGTGTGTGTATATATATATATATATATATATATATATATATATATACACATATATATGTATATATCATATCTTCTTGGTTCATTCATTCATTAAGTGGCATCAGGGCTGATTCCATGCCTTGGCTATGCTGAATAGTGCTGCAGTGAACATGGTTGTGATGATGGCTTTACTGTATTGTCGTTTGTAAACTTTTGGATAAATGTTCAAGAGAACAATTGCTGGATTAGTTCTGTTTAGTTTTTTGAGGAACCACCTCACTGCTTTCCAGAGTGGTTAACAATTTTACATTCCCACCAACAATGTACTAGGGTTCCTCTCTGCCCACACTTGCACTGGCATCTGTTACTGTTTGTATTCTTGATGGCCATTCTAACTGGGACAAGACTGAATCCCAGTGTTGTTCTGGTTTGCATTTCCTTTATGGCCAGTGGTATGTCTGACAATGTAGACATTTTTTAACAAAAAAAAATCCAACTTGTTAGACAATTCCTAAGAACATTTTGACTAACTGCCAGGATTTCCAGAGGAAAGAAGCTTCTGAGAAAAGGACAGTATTGGTCATTTCTCAAGGTCCTGCCTTTTCCTGTTCTCCCCACAGCTCAGGCTTTATACCTTGTCTCTGACTCCCAGTTGGCTAAGGCTAGTGGCCAGACCCCTTGGTTTTGGGGTGTCTGTGTGAGATAGAAAAGCAGGCTTGGGGTGGAGTGGCTCTGAGGGACATTTCTCAAGAAAACCTAAGGGGCTGTCCTGTGCCAGCGCACAGAGCCAGTGCCATCCCCTGTGTACAGGCAGTGTACCTTGCTCACAACCATACTGTGAGTGAGACTGGAACTGAGCTGCAGCTGGCAACCCAACCAGGAGCTGTTTTCCAGCCATGCTTCACAGGCAGCAGGCGAGAGGGGGGCATAGTCACAATGAGTGCCCTTCCCACACCCATCCAGGCAGGTGGCAGAGGCCCCTCATCTCCTAAGTGAGCCTGGATGCAGATGACGCAGAAGGGCTGCCCTGTGCAGTGCACACAAACCTTCTCGTGCATGAATGGAAGGTATACTGAGCCACCAGAAAGATGAAGAGTCCTTTTAGGAACAATGATCACAATGGAATTTTACCTGCTTTGCTGCCAGTGTCCACACACGCAGGCCAGGAAGGGACCGGCCAACAGCTCAGCCGGTGCCAAGTATGGGGCCGCCTCCCCCAGCAGTCTTGGACTCGCCTGTCTTTCTAGATGAACCCTCGTCTGGATGGCTGCATGCGGAGCTGGAACTGGCTCAATGGGGAAGACAACACGATCCAAGAAACCGTGAAGGCGAACACGAAGATGCAATGCTTCTCGGTGACTGAGAAGGGGTCTTTCTTCCCTGGAAATGGGTTTGCATTCTACAGCCTTGGATATAGTAAGTGAGCCTGGCCTCCCGCTGTTGGGGGTCTGTGGTGGGTTCTCTAGCTGGTACATGCTAAGATGTGAACTGTTAGAACTGTCCCGGGACAATGGGAGGACGGCTGTGGTAGGGATCCGTGCTGACCAGTGTAGGTGAGCAAGGATCCATGCTGACCAGTTATAGATGAACAGGGATTCATGCTGACTGGTATAGATGAGCGGGGTTCTGTGCTGACTGGTGTAGGTGAGCAAGGATTTGTGCTGACCAGTGTAGGCGAGCAGGATTCTGTGCTGACCAGTTATAGATGAGCAGGGACTCATGCTGATCAGTATAGGTGAGCAGGGATCCATGCTGACCAGCTATAGATGAGTGTGGGTGAGCAGGGATCTGTGCTCACCAGTTGTATGTGAGTGCCCACCAAGGGGATGTACAAGGTACACACAACTCACCCTTCACAATGAATGGTCTGTCTACATCCCCATTCCTTTCTAATGAGCGGCCTGTTTATAGCTTTAAAGTTTTCCATCCACATGCATTCATCTCAGTGAAATGTTGAGAATTGACTGCTACAGATGCTGTCTGGGATAGGACAGGAGACTCGTTTGAGGAGATGGTGGTGAAAGAGCATGATTGGAGCAGGCTGGCTTCCCCCACAGACTGGCCAGTGGAGATCAAGGGTGGTGCAGGCCCATGCCCATGGCCTTCTAAGCGCTTGGCAAACTTCCACCTCGCAGAGTGACCCGTGACAGTGGGTAGGAACGGAGAGGCTAGTGGACAGCGCAGGGCATGGGGTGCATGGACTCTTATGGAGAGAGCAGGGGCCCTGGGAGTTGGGGGGACAGTGGCCCTCAGGCTCACCCCCTGGGTCAGGTCTGAACAGTTTGGGAGTCACTTGAGTGCATTTTAAAGCAGAGTGCTGTTGGGGGGGGACGGTGCTCACTGTCCTCAAGTGTCCCTGGACCCTGGTGTTGACATCGAGGCCCAGTGCAGGCGGTCCCCTCCAGTCCCACTGCAGTTGTCTGTTAAGACCCTGGGCCCTATGGGCTCAGACCACCATGGTGCCCTCCACCTGCCTTCTCGCCAGGCAGTGCCTCCACTGCCAAGGGCAGGCAGTCCACAGACTGTCCATGTGGCCCCCCTGCCCTTGCGCCGCCGCTCACTCTGCCCCCTGCGCCATGCGTATCGCCTGCTGATGGGCTGCTTTCATCGCAGCACGGACCTCCTCGGATGTCGGGACAGAGACGACCTGGGGAATAGAAGTTGTGGCTCGGATCCGCCCTGCCACCGACACGGGGGTGCTGCTCGCGCTCGTGGCTGATGACCATGCTGTGCCCCTCTCTGTGGCCCTGGTGGACTACCACTCCACAAAAAAGCTCAAGAAACAGGTGAGCCCCACCCCTCACCGGCCCCCGGGCTTTTCCCTCTGCAGTCCTTTTGCCTGACCGCCATACCCAAGGGCTCATCCCAGCCCAGCACCTCCACCAGACCAGGGTCTGCACCCAGCAGGTGCCCTCTGCTTTGTTTAGAGTTGTCATGTGATCACAGAGCACAGCTGCAGTGTAAGCCATGGTGGTCAGGGTGGCAGAACGAGGGCGTGAAACCAGGGAGAGTGAGAGCCGCTGTGGCTGGGGTATCCAGGTATCCCCCAGAGCCCTCAGCACGGTGCACAGTGAGCCCGCAGCACAGTACTCACAGCCCACAGCACAGTACATACAGCCCCCAGCACAGTACTCACAGCCCACAGCACAGTACAGCCCGCAGCACAGTACTCACAGCCCACAGCACAGTACATACAGCCCCCAGCACAGTACTCACAGCCCACAGCACAGTACTCACAGCCCACAGCACAGTACTCACAGCCCACAGCACAGTACAGCCCACAGCACAGTACTCACAGCCCACAGCACAGTACTCACAGCCCACAGCACAGTACTCACAGCCCACAGCACAGTACTCACAACCCACAGCACAGTACAGCCCACAGCACAGTACAGCCCGCAGCACAGTACTCACAACCCACAGCACAGTACAGCCCGCAGCACAGTACAGCCCACAGCACAGTACAGCCCACAGCACAGTACTCACAGCCCACAGCACAGTACTCACAGCCCACAGCACAGTACTCACAGCCCGCAGCACAGTACTCACAACCCACAGCACAGTACAGCCCACAGCACAGTACAGCCCACAGCACAGTACATACAGCCCCCAGCACAGTACTCATAATGCGCAGTACAGTACTCATAGCCTGCAGTATGGCACTCAGCCCACAGCATGGTGCACAGTGAGCCCACAGCACAGTACTCACAGCCTGCAGCACAGTGCACACAGCCTACAGCACAGTACTGACAGCCCGTAGCACAGTATTCACAGCCCACAGCACAGTACTTAGCCCGCAGCACAGTACTTAGCCCGCAGCACACAATACTCACAGCCTACAGTACAGTATTCACAGCCCACAGCACAATACTCAGTGAGCCGGCAGCACAGTACACACAACCCATAGTGCAGTACTCAGTAAGCCTGCAGCACAGTGTTCACAGCCCACAGCACAGTACTCAGCCTGCAACACAGTACTCACAGCCTGTAACACAGTACTCAGCTGGCAGAAGGAGAAGACATGGCCCTCCGTTACCTCCCAGCTGCCTACCACACACAAATCCCAGTGCAGGAGTGGACCCCAGCCCACCCTGACCCACGACCAGCAGGGAAGCATGGAACATCTGGCGTCCTGACCCTGACCCTGTCCTCCCCTCTCCCCCTGCAGTTGGTGGTCTTAGCAGTGGAGGATGTTGCCCTGGCTCTGATGGAGATCAAGGTGTGTGATGGTCAGGAACACGTGGTCACGGTCTCCCTGAGGGCGAACGAGGCCACTCTGGAAGTGGATGGCACCAAAGGCCAGAGTGAAGTCACTGCCTCCCAGCTGCAAGAGCGGCTGGCCATCCTGGAGACACACCTGCAGGGCTCTGTGCTCACCTTCGTGGGGGGCCTGCCAGGTAGGTCCTCCCTGTACTGGGTGCCTGCGCTGGGCCAGTGGGTCAGCTTCCTCCTCACATCAGCTCTGATGCATGGCGGCTTCATTTAGAGAGAGGGGAAGTGTATAAAGGTTCATGCACCAACCTCAGTGCTGTCCAGGCCATTGCTGACCCTGGATAAACATCTGTTATCCGGACTGAGGACAGGGCATGGGTAGGCCTTGGTCCATCAGCCCTACGCTCCCTTGTCCCTCAAAGAGCATCATCTGAGAGCCAGTTAGACCAGGGCCTGGAAGGAGGCTGGATGGACCCTGGGCTGTGCTGGTCACCCGGCACTGTTAGCCAACAAAGTGGCCAAAAGCCCCTCCTGGGTCCCACATGGGCTACCAGCAGTGTCCTGCTCAATCTTACAGACCCAGAACAGAATGAGGGTGTCATCAAACTACAAATTCCTTACTGGTTATCCCAAGCCAAGGTGCAGTAGAGGACCAGATCCTCCCATCGTGAGCTAGTCTCTATGCCAAACAGTGGGATTTCTGTACTGATGACCTGACACAGACATCTCAGATTTAATCCCAAAGCTTAGGAGAGAGGGGAGAGCAGGAGACTGACAGCAGCATGACAACTGGCTCAAGGACGGGCAGGGAGGAGCCTAAATTGACACCTGGGGGAGGCATCTGCAAGAACTAGAGGGGCACACGGTGAGCACTTGGGGTAGGTTCACACCCAGACAGGGATGATGGTGAAAATAGATCCAATGCCCCACTGGGAACTCAGCCAGTGCCCAGGAATGCTGAGGGTGGGTTCTGGCCAGCCTGGCTCTGCCAGCTCACGGTATTCATTCCCATGGCCAGGGGTGCCAGTGACATCCGCGCCCGTCATAGCATTCTACCGTGGCTGCATGACACTGGAGGTAAACCAGAAGCTCCTGGACCTGGATGAGGCCGCGTACAAGCACAGTGACATCACTTCGCACTCCTGTCCCCCAGTGGAGCACTCCACACCCTAGACTAGCTGCCTCAGGACCCAAGAGCACGAGACCACCGGTGCCACACTCCAAGCAGAAAGGAGTGAGCTTTGAGTGCAGCCCTTGAACACTGGAGCGGGCAGGGCCGCCCCGCCTCACCAGCTGCTTTCCTTTGAGACCTTTCTTTGCCTGTACCATATCTGTACATAGTGGACTGGTGTTGGAGGCCCACGGCCCACGCCCTGCCCATCAGCCTGAGGGAACCTGGCTGCACAGGGGAGGACGTGGGAAGGCCAGGATTGCAGCAACGCAGACTTGAAGAAAATAATTCTTTTTATTTTTATTACCACATGCTTCTTTCTGACTCCAAAATATGAAAAAATAAAATATTTACGGAAGCCTTTTTAATCTTGTGTTGACCACTGTCTACTCTTTAGGGTTTATCAGCCCTTAGCAGCTCTTGAGATAAATGGACTTAGAGGGCCAGGGCACTGTAGATCACATCTGGAGGTGGTCATGGAGTTCAGAGCACTGTAGATGACATCTAGAGGTAGGTGGTCATGGAGTTCAGAGCACTGTGGATGACATCTGGAGGTGGTCATGGAGGGTCAGGGCACTGTGGATGACATCTGGAGGTGGTCATGGAGGCCAGGGCACTGTGGATGACATCTGGAGGTGGTCATGGAGGCCAGGGCACTGTGGATGACATCTGGAGGTGGTCATGGAGGCCAGGGCACTGTAGATCACATCTGGAGGTGGTTATGGAGGCCAGGGCACTGTGGATCACATCTGGAGGTGGTCATGGAGGCCAGGGCACTGTGAATCACAGCTAGAGGTGGTCATGGAGGTTATGGCACTATAGATCATATCTGGAGGTGGTCATGGAGGCCAGGGCACTGTGGATCACTTCTGGAGGTGGTCATGGAGGCCAGGGCACTGTAGATCTGATCTGGAGGTAGTCATGGAGGCCAGGTCACTATGGATGACATCTGGAGGTAGTCATGGAGGCTATGGCACTGTAGATCATATCTGGAGGTGGTCATGGAGGCCAGGGCACTGTGGATCACTTCTGGAAGTGGTCATGGAGGCCAGGGCACTGTGGATCTGATCTGGAGGTAGTCATGGAGGCCAGGGCACTATGGATCACATTTGGAGGTGGTCATGGAGGCCAGGGTACTGTGGATCACATCTGGAGGTGGTCATGGAGTCCAGAGCACTGTGGATTACATCTGGAGGTGGTCAGGGAGGCCAGGACATGTGGATCACAACTGGAGGTGGTCATGGGAGACCAGGGCACTGTGGATTACATCTGGAGGTGTTCATGGTGGTCAGGGCACTGTGGATGATATCTGGAGGTGGTTATGGAGGCCAGGGCACTGTGAATCACAGCTGGAGGTGGTCATGGAGGTCAGGACATTGTGGGTTGCAGCTAGAGGCTATGCTAGGCTTTGCCTGACACTGCCCTGAGTCCAGGCTGGGTACCCCTGGGTTACCAGGAACCTCCTCATGTGGGTGATGACAGAGGCTCAGACTGCATCACCAGAGGCCTGTGTGTACTCTACTCTGAGAGTGAAGTGAGTTGAGGAGGGACACCCAGCTGTGCAGTTTAACCCAATGGGACCCGCAGGGCAGCAGTATGTGAGATGATGTGTGTAGGGTGACTGTGTGAGGCAGCTATGAGCAGAGTGTATGGAGTGACTGAACAGGGTGACTGTGCAGGATGACTGTGTGTGAGTTGACTGTGTAGGATGACTGCAGGATGACTGTGTGCATGTGAGAGGTAACTGCAGGGTGAATGTGCAGAGTGGTTTGTACAGGGTGACTGTGCAGGATAACTTTGGGATGACTGCAGGGTGACTGTGGGAAGTGAATGTGTGCAGGGTTAATTGTGGAGTGACTATAGGGTGATTTGTGGGGTAACTTGTGGGGTGACTTGTGCAGGATGACTGTGTGGGGCAGCTACAAGCAGAGTGTGCAGAGTGACTGGACTGGGTGATTGCACAGGGTGACTGTGCGGGGTGACTACACAGGGTGACTGCAGGATGACTGTGTGGGGTTACTGTGTGGTATGACTGTGCGGGTTGACTGTGCAAGATGACTGTGCAGGGTGACTGTGTACAGGGTGACTGTTCAGGATGACTGTACAGGGTGACTGTGTGTGGGATACTGTGTGAGGTGACTGTGCAGGGTGACTATGTTTGGAGTGATTGTGCAGGGTGACTGTGTTCAGGGTGGCTGTGTGCAGGGTGACTGTGCAGGATGACTGTGTGGGGTGACTGTGTGGGGTGATTGTATGCAGGGTGGCTGTGTGCAGGGTCTGTGTGCAGGATGACTGTACGCAGGGTGACTGCAGGGTGACTGTGCAGGGTGACTGTGCGGGGTGACTGTGGAGTGACTGTGCAGGATGCCTGTGTGCAGGGTAACTATGCTGGGTGGCTGTGTGCAGCGTGACTGTGCTAGGTGACTGTGCAAGGTGACTATGTTCAAGGTGACTGTGTGAAGGTGACTGTGCAGGGTGACTGTGCAGGGTGACTATGTACAGGTGACTGTGTACAGGGTGACTGGGGGGTGACTGTGCACAAAGTGACTGTGCTGGGTAATTGTGTGGAGTGACTGTGCAGGATGACTGTGTGCAGGGTGACTATGCTGGGTGACTGTGTAGGGTGACTGTGCTAGGTGACTGTGCAGGGTGACTGTGTACAAGGTGACTTGTGCAAGGTGACTGTGTTCAGGGTGACTGTGCAGGGTAACTGTGTGCAGGGTTACTGTGCATGGGGTAACTGTGCGGGATGCTTGTGTACAGGGTGGCTGTGTGCAAGATGACTATGTGCAGGGTGACCTGCAGGGTGACTATGTGCAGGGTGGCTGTGGGTGGGTGACTGTAGCTGTTTGCAGAATGCCTGTGTAGGGTTACTGTGTACAGGGTAACTATGGAGTAACTGTGCAGGATGACTGTGCAGGGTGACTGTGTGCAGGATGACTGTGTGGGGTGACTGTGTGGGGTGACTGTGTGGGGTGACTGTACAGGATAACTCTACAGGGTAACTGTGTGCAGGGTGACTGTGCAGGGTGGCTGTGTGCAGGGTTACTGTGTGGGGTGACTGTGCGGGGTGATTTGCAGGGTGACAATGCAGGGTGACTGTGTGCAGCGTGACTCTGTGGGGTGACTGTGTGGGGTGACTGTGTGCAGGGTGGCTGTGTGCAGGGTGACTTTGCAGGATGACTGTGTGGGGTGACTGTGTGGGGTGACTGTGTACAGGGTGATCGTGTACAATGTGACTGTGTACAGGGTGATTGCATGGTGACTGTACAGGGTGACTTGAAGGGTGACTGTGTGCAAGATGGCTATGTGCAGGGTGACTTGCAGAATGACTGTAGGGTGACTGTGTGCAGGGTGGCTTTGTGCAAGGTGAATGTGTGCAAGGTGAGTGTGTGCAGGGTGACTTACAGGGTAACTTGCAAGGTGACTGTGTGCAGAGTGACTGTATGCAAGGTGACTGTGTGCAGGGTGGCTATGTGCAGAGTGACTGTGTGCAGGGTGACTGTACAAGGTGACTGTGTGCAGGGTGACTGTTCAGGGTGACTGTACAGGATGACTTTTGGGGTGTACCTTTATGTAGGTGGCTATGTCAGGGCTGACTGTGTTCAGGATGACTGTGTAGAATGCCTGTGGGTGGTGACTGTGCAGGGTTACTGTGTGCAGGATCACTGTGTGCAGGGTGGCTGTGTGAAGGCTGACTGCAGGATGCCTTGTGAGGGCTGTGTACAGGATGTCTGTGTGTGGGGTACCTGTGTGTAGGTGGCTGTGAACAGGCTGTGTGAGGGCTGTGTGCGGGGTGCCTGTGTATGGACTTGGCAGCTGCAGAGGACTCCTGTCTTCTTGCAGACCACTTGCTTCTGGGCCTGGCCTCTGCAGTTCAAAGGGAAAATCCACTTCCTCCGCCCCAGGGCTGTGAGCAGCATGAGGACAGTGGCTGCTTCACAATAGGTGGTCCTGCATCCTAAGTGAAGAGGAGAGGGTTGTGGTGGACTTGGACCCTAGGCCTGGAAGCCCCATGGATGGTCTAGAAGTCGCAGAACTGCTGAGCACAGACCCAGCAGGCGTGGGAAGCTGGACACCCCGCTCTGCCAGGCCCGGAGCCCCATGCCACCCCCGCTGGGCCTCCCAGAGCGCCGGCTGTGAACCTCATGGAACTCAGATCTGCGCCAGCCCTGTCAGCACAGCAACCCCCTTGGCCCTCTGTGGTTTTCTTCCTGGTTGGAGGCGGCTCTGGAATGTTCTCATGGAATGTTCTCAAGGAGAGCTCTCTAGCCAGTCCCACTTCTCCAAAAAGTCAGGAGGCCAAGAGAAGAGAGTCAGATGCTGGTGTTAGGGCTAGACCGCAGGATTCACACAGACACAGGTGGTACCTGTGACACCTGCTCCGGGGTGACCACACTCTGTCTGGGAGAGCCCAGGCTCCAGAGTCTCAGACTTGGTGGGCGCCAGGGCCTTATTCTATCTCCTGCCAAACAAAGCAAAAACCTGCCCTGGGCCGAACCACGAAGCACATTCTGCCAGCCACGGTCATGCAACATCTCCCTGTGTTCTGGGATGAGGAGGCTGTGGACAGACAGGGGTCTCAGGATGGACTGTGCTGGCCATGCTTGGAAGATAGGGAAGACAAGGAGGAAGGAGGCCCATAGTCTCGGATGGAGGCTAGGATGGATTGCATTGTTGATGTTTAGGTTTGAGTTGAGTTAAAAGTTTTCTTTTTAAGGAAGAAAATAGTTATTTTCAATTTATGTTGTTTTGTGCTGAGCATTTCCCTGATGGGTATTATTTTTTGAGGCTTGCTTTGTGCATGACTTTTATCATTTCCCTGATGGCTATTTTTTGAGGCTTGCTTTGTGCATGACCTTTAGCAGCACCCCGTTTTCCCCACAGGCACGTGACCCCTTCACCAACACACACACGTTGTTAGGAAAATGTCTCAGGGCCAGATGTGCCTAAGAGCAAAGCATTTTCAAACCACTGACTTAAAGCAAAACATAATGTAATTCTGTCTCCCATTATACCACGGTATGGAGTGAGCCTGTACGTGTAAAGGTAGGCTGTAATCCCCAACTAAAAGGAATACAGAGTCCCTGTCCAGATGGGCTCTCCCATGTCTCTGCAAATTCATGGTGCACAGTGGTCACCCAACAAAGAAGCAGACAGGACCCAAGCAGACCCTGCAGAGATGAAAGACTGTGTCCATTGGGCCTGGGCCTGGTTTGCGAGTGGAAATAGAGACTGCAGCATGTAAGACGTACACACACACTAGAGGGGTAAGGGGCTGAGACTGAGAATGCCGTGTTCGGTAAATCAGAGCTACAGTGGCAGAAGTCAGTGACCTTTATAAGAAGCAACAAATGAGTCTACTGAGGCTGAAGAGCACAACCTCAGAAACTGCATCTCCTGAGCAGTCCACAGCACAACACGGCCATGCACAGCCATGTGTGCAATGAGCTACTCACAGAGCACACAGGCAGAAACAATCTGCCACATACAATAGTCAGTCTAACGGAGAAAGCTGATATATTCAGAAATGGAGCAACACATAGTGAGAGAAGGGTTGGCCACCGTTGGAGAAAATCACTAGTACCCAACCTAGCATGGGAAGCCAGGAAGAGAACAGGCCCTTCAAGTCAGCATCAGGGGCAAAGTGACCTCTTCCAAGTGGGGCATTGAGCCTGAGAGTAAGCACTGACAGCACATGTGCACTGATAGCACGTGTGCACTGACAGGATGTGTGAAGTGATGGGGTGTGTGCAGTGACAGCATGTGTATACTGACAGCACGTGTGTACCAACAGGACGTGTTCAGTAAAAGCGCATGTGTACTGACAGGATGTGCACACTGTCAAGACGTGCGCCGACAGGACATGCTCAGTGACAGCATGTTTGCAGTGACAGCACATGTACAATGACAGGACATGTGCACTGACAGGCAGGTGCAGTGACAGGACGTGTAATGTGACAGGACATGAGCAGTGACAGCACGTGTGCACTGACAGGATGTATATACCGACAGGACGTGTGAACTAACAGGATATGTGCACTGACAGGACTTGCACAGTGACAGGACGTGTACACTGACAGTACCTGCGCAGTGTCAGGATGAGTACACTGATCGAACGAGTACACTGACCAGATGTGTGCACTGACAGGATGTGTACAGTGTCCAGGCCATGTGCACTGACAGCACGTGTGCACCAACAGCACATGTGCATTGACAAGCCGTGTGCAGTGAGGTGAGGAATGGACTTGGGGCTCTTATGCCACCACCTTGACCAGCCTGCGACTTGAGCCACCTGAGGTGCGTGTGTGGCCTAGGCCTCCGTCATCAATGTTGGGCCAGGTCAGCCCAAAACTGCACTGGAAGCTGTCATCATCTGAGCAGAGCTAACTGGACCCAAACTTGCAGCTCAGCAGCCTCCTCTGACCACAGCCTCTACTGACTTCTGTCACCCAGCAGCCTCTACCCGACCAGAGCCTTCCTCTGACCAGAGCCTCCCTCTGACCAGAGCCTCCCTCTGACCAGAGCCTCCCTCTAACCAGAGCCTCCACCTGGCCAAAGCCTCCCTCTGACCACAGCCTCCCTCTGACCAGGGCCAATAGCTAACCAGAGCCTCGTCTGACAGCCTTGGCCGCCACGTTATCACTGCCTATAGCACCCTGGCCTGTCCAGCCCACCCCTCCCCAGCAGGTGGAGTCTGTCCTCTTGGCCATCCTGTCCCTGCCACACAGGAGGCACTAGTGGGATATGACACCTTCAGAATGGAGTGGAGGGAGCCGGGCCTTCTGTTCCTCAGCTCCCCGGCTCCCACCTGGCAGGATGGTGCTGAGGGGTGTCAAGCTAGACACCGGCCTGCACTGGGGTACCTGACCCCAGGCTGTCCCCGAGAACCCCCTAAAGGTCTGGAGCTGGGAATCTACTCCTGTGAGGAGTGGGGTCCAGGCCCCCTCAGACCCCACAGAGGTACCCTATGAGAGCCACAGGCCAGGCCATGAAGGCCACCAATACTCCAGTCACATGGCTGTCCACGCGAAGGGACAGTCTACCTCCGGGGACGGGACGCTGGGGCCACCACCAGGCCGTGGCGGAGCTGCCTGCATTCCTGGTGGCTGTGGTGAGATGAAGACATTCTTGGGGGTATGAACGTAATCGTTGACCTTGGAATGTAAGATTTCCTAATGGCTCTTGGCTCCAGGAAGGCCTCTAAGCCCATGCCAGGGGGACACGCATTAGAGTAGAGTGTGGTGACAGAACATCTCGGGGGAGCTGGGACTCCCACGCCCCCTGCACATACCTCCAACCCCAATCAGCACCAGGAGTGTGAAGCTGCTCCCTGAGGACTGGGAGACCATGGCTCCCCGAGGCAGAGGCTTTGCACCCTGGGCCTACAATTCGCTTCATTGCTTGAAGAGACCCTGGGGCCTAGAAGACCAAGTGCAGGCCACAGCACCAAGACCTGAAAGCCAGCCGGGAGGCAGCATGGGGGCCCTGCCTGCAGCAGTGGTGGTAGCGGCTCTGGAAACCCAGCATCCTGCCGCTACCTCCAGAACCCTTGCTTTTTGCTGCTTACTTCACACTCACTGGTCTTTACGCTCACGGATTCACCGTATGCTCCATCCTGGGGGCAGCTGGCCTGTGCCAGCTCTGCCAGTGCCTACATTCCCACCTGACAAGGTGAAGACCAGGAGGCTTCTGCTCATGGTGAGTTGACTGCCATGTGTGGCCCAGTCCATGCCGTGTCTTCTGCAAGAGCCCCCTGGTGGTATTGGTGGGGACACAAGCCCCTCTCTCTGGGGCTAGCTCTGAATGACCTCTGACCAGCAGATCCTAAGCCCTCCAGTCCAGACAGAATCCTGGGGTCAGCTTTCCCTATAGCCGAGGTGGCCTCTGAAGGGGCTGAGGACACGGCCTTGCTGAAAGGGGATGGGGAGGCTGGCCTCCCTTTCCCAGAGCCTCCGGGAGGCCCAGTCATTCACACACACACACTTCGGACACAGCATGCTTTGTCTGGGGAAACACAGTCAGGACTCGGACTGTTTGGATACATTGCTGCTTCATATGAAGTCAAACCAGGTCTCCATTATGAAAAACTTTCGCATGATGGAACCGTGGTGGGTGACCCACAGAAGCCCCAGCCAGTGCCCCAGCTCACCCCCATCTCACCCCAAGCTCACCCCCAGGTCCCTGTGATCACCAGGGGCCAAGGTTCAAAGACCCACAGAGGCTTCAGCCAGTGCCCCAGCCCATCCCCAGCTCACCCCCAGCTCCCCATGATCACTGGGGGCTGGGTTGCAAGGATCAGATGTGGGCAGGGAGTGGGCACTTAGCACTAGGAAGGGGCGCGTGTGTCCTTATCCTGAGGACGGGAATGAGGATTGGGGAGCTCTGGGGTGGCAGGCCCCCAGGACCACGCTGTGGCAGATCAGAGAGACAGCCTTTCCCAAGTGCCACTGATTCAGTGTCCACGACCATGGTGGATAAAAGAGTTGTCCAGGGTCAGTTCCCCAAGGTCATGGGAGGCCAGGCCAGTTCCCCAAGGTCATATGGAAGGCGAGATCCCTGCTATCATGGGGAAGGCAGGCTTCCAGAGGTCATGGGGGGCAGGACTAGGCTTCCAGGGGCCGAAAGGGACCAGGCTTCATGGGGCTAAGGAGAAGCAAAGATCCTCTCTCAGGAAAGAGGCTCAAGAGGCTATTATGATAGAAATGGCAACAGTTCACAGCCCTCCAGTACCAGCAGGCAGCCTGGGGATGCCACACAAACCTCTCTTGTGCCTGCCTGCTGTCATTCAGCATAGGTGTGCTCTGTGGGTCTTTGTGGGAAACCGGCTGTACTCAGAGCTGGGGGCTACTCTGGGACAGCCATAGCCAGAGGGGCATAGGCTGGCTGCCCAATGGCCCAGGGCTTCTTTCAGACCCGAGCCATAGCTGGGCCAAGGAAGAGGCTTACCACAGGAAGGTCATCAGGAAAGCGGACACCTTTATTATAGAAAGACACCAAAATGAGAGCTGTGAGGGCCAGAGCTGCTCTGCAGTTTTCAATGACAGTGAGGGTAGAGGAGGCGAGCTGGGCTGAGGGGTAAGGACACTGTGGACTGCCTGTGGCTCTCCTCTCCTCCTCTTCTCCCAGCCACAGAGCTGGGGAGGGCCCTGGGTCTCTGGGATCTGTCCTTGGCAGTTGGGAGGCCTCCCATGCCCTTCTCTGGCCCCCTGCCAGGCTCTGAGCGATTGCTTCCCGCCTATCTCTCCAGGTGTGTGCAGAGGTGGGGCATGGGGAGCTCTCAGTGTGCAACCCAGCAGGTCGCCCCCACAGTGCCCAGAGCAGAATTGAATGCCCAGGAAAGCTCCTTGTCGGGAGGAAGCTTCCAGGCCACAGGGCCACCGGTGAGCATCAGGAAGAACAACAGAAGAGCAGACTTAATAGGCACATCACAACTCAGGCACGGGGGCCTCTGGCCAGCTAGGTATAGTCTGTCCCACAAGTAGCCATCACTAGTCAGAGCTCGTGTGTCTTTAGAAGAGACTTTAACCAAAGCTTGCTTTCATTCAGATAAATATCAGGAAGACTGGGCATCAAGCGAGAGGCTCTGCCTCTTCTTGGAGACATATGAATATGTACACTTGCAACTTTCTTCCTTAAAGAATGATCCTGGTGCTGGGAGATGCTGAGCTGCATTTCCTCCAGACCCTAATGACTGCTCACCGGTAGGGGACAGCAGGAATGAAGTGGGTTTGATGACTGCGAGGCAGGACTGTCACTGGGACATGCAGAGGAGAGCAGGGCCTGGCTGGGCTCAGGGATGGCTGGCCCTGCCAGGTGCCCACGAGGGACAGAAGGAGGGTTCTGCGGAGGGCTCTCTGGCTTCTCTAGGAGGCTGACTGCAGAAGCAGGACTGCTGGAGGTGACTTCTTTCTTTTTGTTCATTAGTATTAATTAATATTGGCAAACCAAGTGACTTCCCTCTCCCACTGCTGTCAGGGTGCGTATGGGGGTGGCTTCTCCCCTGGGAGGAAGCAGGCTGGTGTGCAGAGCGGCGGGGCGTGGGGAGGCTGCCCTTGGCTGGGAGGCCATACATCCTCCGGCAAGGAGAGGCCGGCAGAGGCTGAGGCAGGCAGGGCGCCGGAGGGCTGCAATTAAACAGAGGCGTCCTTAGCAGGGGCGCTGTCTGCACACCGGCCAGACCACAGGCTGGCCTCAGCCTGATGCCCTCCCTGAGTCCCAGGAAGCCCATCTGCCCAGGCCAAGCTCGCCCTGCTGACCCCATGGGGGCCTCGCTGGCATGCTTGTCCAGTGAGCGGGAGACCCTGGAGGAGAACACCACAGCTCCTCCAGAGAGCTCCTCAGGCTGCTCACTCCCCGTCCATGCAGCCTTGGAAACACTGCCCACCTTCTGTCAGGGAAGGTCAGAGGTCGCCAGAAGCCAGGTCTTTTGTGCTCACCCAATCCTTCAAGTTTCAAGGGAAAACTCTTCCAGACAAGTGTGATGGTTAATTCTGTGATGGCTGACCCAGCCATTTGCCCATTTAAAACTGGCCACTCTCTCTTCCATGAGTGGACCTTATCCAGTCAATTACAGGCCTGGGGAGAGTTTGAGGCCCCCAAGGTGGGGAAGAGTTCTGCCTGGAAACACCTCAGATTTGAGCCAAAACATCATCTTTTCCCTGGTCTCCAGCCTGCCCTGCCTCACAGGGAAGATAAACTGCCTCTGTAGTTAAGAGTCAATCATTTAAAATCAATCTAAAATAATAAAACAAATAAGTGATGAATAACCAGCTAACTAAATAAGGCCTCCTATAACATAACACCGAATTCAGCTTCTAAACAGAACTCCCAGGTATGCTGTCAAATGTGGTGCCACCTGGACTTGGGGTTCTAGAGCAGCCCCCTAAGTGTCCACACCTTCCTAGGGACCTCTCCCTGCAGGAAGCAGGGACCTCCATCCTGAAAGCAATTTGCTCACAAGGGCAGCTGGAGCGGAGGACATCACCCTTGCTCAGGATGATTGCCACTCAGTTGGGCTCTGCCTCTTCTCTCTCTCTCAACCTGTTTGTTTCTGCTTCTCTCCCCACAAAACCCATGCACCTTCCTGACTACAGTGGACATATGAGTCTTTCAAGAACATTCTCTGAGCTTTGCTAGGAAGGTCTGCCCTCCCCTCACCATCCACTCTGTTCTTCACTGAAAATGAGTAAACACGCAGCCTCAGCGTAAACTCTCCCAAACCCCAGGAACCACAGAGCAAATCACCATGTGCCACAGAGTTAATGATCATAACCATGGAGTTAACCACCATGAAGTAGAGTAAACTATCACCCATGAGCTGTAGAGCAAACCACACGAGTCACGGGTAGCCCTTCATGAGCTATGGAATTAACCACCATAAACCATAGGATTAAATCACCAGGAACCACAGAATAAACCACCAAAAACCTTAGAGCAGACCTTTCTGTAAACACCATAAGCCACCGAGAAACCACCATGAGCCATGGAATTAACCCTATGAACCACATCGCAGGTCCCCAATCATCAAGGCAACCTACCAAGTGCCAGTTAACCACCATGTACCATGGAGCAAACCCTCACGAACCATCAGGATAAACACTAAGAATCTTGGAGTAGGCCACTTGGGGCCACAGGTGAACCCTTCAGAACCACATGGTAAACCACTACCCAGAATCCTAGAGAAAGCCATGAGGAGCCACACAATAAACCCTGACAATCACCAGTGGACAAGACTGATGGGAGGCAGGCCCTGCCCACAGAGCACACTGGCAGGGGAACGGACAGGAATCCTCCAGCAGCAAGACTCACTGACATCTACAGCATTACGTCAGGCAAGCTACTGGAGACAGGACGGGCCCTTTAAGCTTTTCCTTCTAACTGCTCAAAGCAATTCCCATGGCCACCCACGTCCTGCCATCCAGGGAGCATTTAAGGCTGCTAATGGCTTCAACAAATCACTGAAAATACTTCCTTTCTGTCTCTGGGTTAGTGGAAGCAGGCATCTCTGCTGATGTTCTTATTAACAATTACATGAAGCCTAATCCAATGTGCCTGGTACCCCAGATCTAATTGTCCATGCATCTACACCCCACACACACTGGGGTGGAGTGCCAGTCCCCTGAAGGGTGCACCCGACTGCTCCTTAGGAGGGAGCTTCCACTGCCAGACACTCGGTCCCGAAGACAGCGAGGAGGGAGCACATGGGAGGGAGCACCGTGGAGCAGGGCAGGCCCCAGACCTTAAGGGCCTGCACCCCATAGGACGTGTACCCCGTGTCGGGTGGGAACGGATGTGTGGAGGCATGTGCTTGGTGAGTAAGCTCTGCCCAGCACGAGTAGAAGATGTGGGCTCCTGTTCTTGGTATCTGTGCAGTTCACCCCGGTGTGGGTGTGGAGCTACGGTGCTCACACAGCTCTTGGGCACGGCCCTCACCTACTCTGTGTCAGACCCTCAGACAGTCTGTGAGGCCCCTCCCCCCTGGACAGCCAGGGCTCATTGCTCCCCTCTTCCCCCAATAGTCACGCTCCCTTCCTGAGACCTCCCTCCCATTGGCATAGCTCATGGGGCTTCCTACAGTGCCCTAAACATCTGAGGACCCGAGGCCTCCATCCAGCCCACCCCTACCCACAGAGGCACAGAAACACATTTGGACCTGGGGCCCCTCACTACACTTTACTGGGCTCTAGGCTTTGAGCAACTTGTTGATGCTCTGTTGGCAGAGTTGGGAGAAGTCACCATCAGACGTGCTGTGCAGTTGGAGAGAAGGCCTCAGGATGCCATCAGGTCTTTTACCCTGCCCTCGATAGGATGCTGAGTTATGTGTGCAAATGATGATGGCTGTCACAACTGGGGATCCCAGCAGGGGTGGGCAGAGGGCAAGGCCAGTTCAACACCCAGCAGCCCAGATGTAAGCTTCCAGCGTGAGGCAGCCCCAAGTGTTCACTGTACTGAGGTCTACAGTCAATAGATACCACCGGGCAATTGTGGCCTACCCCCCACACACACACAGCACCATTGGACACTCAGGACCTACTCCACGTACAGCACCACTGGACAATGAGAGCCTACCCCTGCCCCACAGCACCACTGGACAATCAGAGCCTACCCCACACAGCACCACTGGACAATCAGGGCCTAGCCCTCTATAGCACCACTGGAAAATCAGGACCTAACCCCCTACAGCACCACTGGACAATCAGGACCTTCAGAGCCTACCCCACACAGCACCACTGGACAATCAGGGCCTAGCCCTCTATAGCACCACTGGAAAATCAGGACCTAACCCCCTACAGCACCACTGGACAATCAGGACCTATCCCCCCGCCCCACAGCACCACTGGACAATCAGGGCCTACCCACACACAGCACCCCTGGACAATCACACACACACACACACACACACACAGAGCACCACTGGACAATCAGTGTCCCCACACCCCCATCATCCAGAGCATCCTGGCCCTTGAAGTATCAAAGCCGGGAATGGAAATGGAAAGAGTGCAGACCCTGTAGGAAAGCATGCACACCCATGACCTTCCTCCAGTATGGCCTCTAGGGCTAGCAGCAGTGTTTGGATGAACCTTATGAAGTCTTCATCTTTACTTGTAAATTTAGGTGAATGAGGCAAACACACCTAGACTGTCTGTACTCACAATGTCCAGCACCTAGAATGTCTGTGCTCACAATGTCCAGCACCTAGACCTTGTGTGCTCACGGTGTCCAGCACCTAGACAGTCTGTGCTCACAATGTCTAGCACCTAGACCATCTGTGCCCACAGTGTCCAGCACCTAGACCTTGTGTGCTCACGGTGTCCAGCACCTGGCAGCTGGTGGCACCCTCAATCGCATGGGCCAGAACTGTGGGCCAGTTCATAGCTAGAAGCGCAGTCCTGGGACTGCGGGTCCCTGAGCGGTGGGTAGTCTCAGCATGGCAGGATGCCCATGGCCCCAACCCTCCCCACCCACATACCTGGCCCAGCCAGAAGAGCTGTGTGCATAGCCCTCCCCACTCCACTGAAGCCCCACCCCTGCCCCGCTGCTGACGCCGTGGCCACTGCCTTCTCAGCCTCTGACACACCTACCTGCAGAGGCAGAGGGTAGGAGGAGCAGGTTGGCACAGTGGAAGGTGGCGGGCAGAAGCCAGTATAGGTCAGGATCTGATGGGCAGGGTTGTAGAGGATCTGAGGTGGGGGAGACTGGCCGTATGCCAGCTGGGACAAAGGGACCTGCAGGGCAGCAGGGGAGCATGAGTCAGAGCTGAGGCCTAAAACTCACCTGTGGTGGTACCCTAGCCTGTGCCCCACCCCTGGGGAGTCCTGTGTCTTCATCATGAAGGCTGGGCCAGGCCCCCGCCTTTACTGAGCTCTAACCATCAGGTTAGAGCTCCTGCCTGGCACAGAGAGCAGCTCCTGCCTGGCACAGAGAGCAGCCTCAACTGGCAGCCTGCGGCTGTAGACGTCCCAAGGCCAAAGTCCTGGGGGCAGCAGGCAGGCAAGGGAGAACTCTCCTTGGCCAGCCCAGCTGGGGCCTGCCTGCAGGGTGGGGGTGGGGGGACAGGAAGGGGAGCTGCCTTGGCCTCTGCTTATCATCCAACTGACCTTTTCTCTTTTTGCCTGATCTGGAGTTTAAATTCAGTGCTTTGTACTTCCTGGGCCGGTGCCCCTTGGGCCATATCCCCAGCCTGGCTTTTTGCTGGTTAAATGGCCAGGAAGCTGGGAACTCTGGGGAAGGCCACTCACCATGTCCTTGAATGCCCCCAGGACAGCAGCGGTGAGGATTCCTGTGCACAGGCCCAAAATGTTCAGTGCAGTGGAGACCCAAAGCAGCCAGTACAGGTGGACCACATCCTGGCAGCCACGCACTCCCACAAACTCATAGTAGGCAGGTGAGTGCTCAGAGCTGCAGGGGGGAGGGGAAGTCGTGACATCACAGTGGCAGGGGTCCACTGATCCCACCCAGAACGGCAGGGTCTTGGTCAGATGACTGCCTTGTGTATTTGAGCCATGGTCAGGTGACCACCTATGTGTGAGGGCACTGTACCTGCCCAGTCACAGGTATCAGAGCCTGGTCAGAAGGCTGCTGGGTGTATAGGACTGACTGCATGCCAGCTAGCAAGACCACAACGACAGTGGACAGGAAGGGGAAGAGGTTAGTGTCACAAGCAAACAAATCTCCACCCACTGAGGGCCGCTGATCGGGAGGGTCCCCTGGGTCTTGTCTCTGAGGGAGCTGATGAGCCGCACACTGGGAGCCAGATGGTGGCCCCTGGGCCCCCGAGGGCAGGCAGAACAGATGGCTGAATTGCCTCTGTTGTATTTACGCCCCTGGACCAGTCAGTCTTTTGCACTCATGTCTGCATGCCATGATGGTCTGGGTTACATACTGGGAGTGCCTCATGCCCTGGGAGGGAGCCAGGACCCCCAGTGACCATCTGATGCCTGCCAGCCAAGCCCAGGCCAGGCCTGAGCCCCTCCCCCACAATAGTAGTGGCACATGCTTCTGGGTGGTGACTGAGCCTCTATTTCTCACTTACAGAGAGTTCCTGGGCAGGCGTCCGATGGTAACCATCGGGGTTCAGGCTTGGAGGGGAGGGTCTTTGCTAAGGGCAGGTGCTGTGTTTGGGTCTCACTCTGTGGATGCCTGGTGTGCCTGTGTGTGCCTGTGTGTGCCTGTGTGTGTGAGAGAGAGAGCATGTGTGTGTGAGTGAGTGTGTATGTGTGCAAACCCTGCAAGCACCCTTGAGCATCCCCTGGGGTGGACTCACTTCCCGCAGGCTTAGAGGCATAAGTGTGTGAATGTGTGTGCGTGAGTGTGCATGAGTGTGTGTACAGACTCTGCGAGCACTCTTGAGCATCCCCTGGGGTAGACTCACCTCCCGCAGGCATAGAGGTGTGTGTATGTGAGTGTGTGTGTGTGTGTGTGTGTGTGTGTGTGTGTGTGTGTGTGTACAGACTCTGCGAGCACCCTTGAGCATCCCCTGGGGTGTGCTCACCTCCTGCAGGTGTAGAGGCATATGTGTGAGTACATGTGTGTGTGAGTGTGTATGACTGTGTGTGAACGTGCAGACCCTGTGAGCACCCTCCAGCATCCCCTGGGGTGGACTCACCTCCCACAGGCGTAGAGGTCACAGCAGTAGCATGTGTTGCTCCTCACCTTCAGCTGGCACCTGCCATTCAAGGAGTAGCAGGTGACCTAGGGCAGAAGTACAGGCAGGCATGTGACAGCCTGGTCCCCATTCTTCAGGAGTGTGTGAGGCCCTCCACACCTGGGCCTGCTGCCCCCCAAAGCAGTGAGTGGGGTGCTGGGGCTGCCCCCCACCAGGGGTAGGCAAGAGTCAGAACTCTCCTGAGCTCAGGACACATGGAGGTCTTTTCTTGGAATGTACAAAGTACTAATAACTCGGTAGGTCTGGTGATCCCAAAGCAAGCTGTCAGGGAATCAGAAATGGGTGCCTCCAAGCCCTAGCCCTCCAGCATTGGGACTCTATTTAGGAGCCTGGATTTAGTTAAATGGACAAATCCAATCATGGTGGTGTGGGCGGCCTCAGCCCCTGCACCTAGTCAGCTTCCATGGTGCACTTGTCATTCCTGATCTCACTCAGGGAGAGGTGAAATCCCTCTGCAGCTGGGCCCAAGGAAAGCTTGTATATATATACATTGTCCAAGAGACAGTATATATGTATCATCCCAGTGTTCCATTGCAGTAATTAAGTCAGTAAAAATGTTAATTGGAGAGACCACACAAACTAGATAGATGAATTCCTACATTGTGTAGCAAAGAAGCAAGTCTGCAGCTGTGATTCTGGAGATAGGAGTGCATTGAAATGTCACAGCCAGCTCAGAAGACCGTGGGGAGCGGTGCATGTCCCCCGTCTGCAGTGAAGATCTGCTAATACTGAAACACACACTGACTGGAATGGAAAACCCAGGGGACCACACTGGGCAAAGGCTCACCTCTGTCTCATAAACATCATACAGGTACCCCGTCCCACTGGAGTAGAACTGGCACCTTCCTGTGCTGAGAGGTCTTGGCTCCTAGAGAAAGAAAGAAACACAGATGGAACAAAATGATCATTCTCAATCTGGAGAGACCAGAGGCTATTTCAGACACATTTGCCATCGACTTAGAGTAAGACAGAGGCAAATACCTGTCAGTTTGCTAGGCAGAATAGTTGTACCCTCACATAGAGAATAGGGACCCAAAGAGAAGCCACCAGAGAGGAGCTATTCATCCATTTATCATCCATCTATAATATATCCATCCATCATCTATCATCATCCACCATCATCCATCCAGCCCTCCATTCACCCACCCATCCATCTGCCCATCCATTCATCCATCCACTCATTCATCCATCCATCCATCATCTATCATCATCCACCATCCACCCATCCATCCATCCATCCATCATCATACATCCATCATTATCCATCCATTCATCTATATATCCATTCATCCATCCTCCCACCCACCTATTCATCCACCATCATCCATTCATCATCTATCCATCCCTCCATCCATCCATCTACCCATTCATTCATTCATCCACCCACCCACCCACCCATCCATCCACCATCATCCATCCATCATTATCCATCTATAATCTATCCATCCATCATCTATCATCATCCACCATCATCCATCCATCCCTCAACTCACCCACCCACCCATCTACCCATCTATCCATCCATCCATTCATCCATCCACCCATCCATCCATACATCCATCATCTATCATCATCCACCATCCACCTATGCATTCATCTATCCATCCATAGAGTCCGAATCCACCATTTGACCACACATGCCTAAACTCCACTATCCATCCACCTGTCTCCAACACTCAGTAAATAGTGCCAACCATCAGGCAGCCACATGTCCAATAGACACATGAAGCCAATAAACTGACAAGGTGTTCACACTTACTGCAGCAAAGACAGCAAGAGGCATGGAAGGTAAGAAATGCCAGAAAACTGTGTAATCTGCAAATGTGTTGGGGCCCCAGTATCTGTTAGTGTTAGCTTCATCATCTTTCATTCTCAAAGCATTGTTACTTCTGACCTAACATAAGTCCAAAACCATCAGTGATGCTGGCAGTGGTGAGAGCAGTCTCTCATGGTTCACTCTTGCACCGGCTGGGGTGTGCGTGGTTGGTTGGGGTGGGTCAGCAACAAGTAGGCAACCAGCCTACCTGTTTCTTCTGCAGCCACGGGTGGCAGGAGGAGACGTAGGCAAGCAGGCAGTGATGGGAGAGCAGTAAGCAAGGATGGAGGAGTCTAGGACCAGCACCTGCAGCATGGGGACTTGAGAGATGGCTTCCAACTTTCCAGCATGCTGTCTGGAGACACTGGGATGGGTAGCCATTGTCACCCAGGGAGAGGACTACCTTGGTTCTTGGAGACCAGCCATGTGGTGAGGCTTTGCCACCGTGGAAGTCTGCATGGGGCCCGCAGCCCGCAAGGGTGAGCTGCTTCTGTGGCCACCTGTGGCCTGGCCACAAATCTGCGGGGCTGCTGCCTGCCAGAGGATGCCAGGATCCATCTAGGCCCTGTCCTCTGGTCACACAGTCCTGGGCAGGTGTGGTGGCCACATACTCTGTCCCCAAAGGTCTATTGCTCCAGTAGGAGCTTGATAAGTGACAATGATGGACAGACGGACAAGGACACCATGCCTCTGACTTTGGCAACTGCTGCTGCTGGCCCTCGGTCACACTAGGTCCAAACCCTGGCGTTCCCCTGACAGGGGAGAGCCAACCCAACAGGAGTGGAAGGCTGGTCCTCGTGACCACTTCTGAAACAAGCCCCAGAGCTGGGCTGAGCCCCACAGGTAAGTGCAGGCAGCTAGTGACAAGCTACCAATCCCAAGGCCAGCATTCTCCTCCCAGGGTAAGGCCGGGGTCTGGGGCCCCAAGACACAACTTCCACCCTGCTCCTGAATGAGCAAGACAGCACCACCTGCTACTGCCTGGGCCACACAGGGTAAAGGCTTTCTGCTGGGTTGGATGGCATTGGGCACAGGATACAAATAGCCTGTGCCCTTCAGGGCAGGTTGTCAGCAAGGATCGGCCTTTATCCTCTGGCCACCAAGGTCTGTATGCCTGTCCAGGGAGAGCAGGCATCCCAGCACTTGCAAGTCTAGGAGAAGTACACACATGTGCTCGTGCTCTCTCTCTCTCTCTCTCTCTCTCTCTCTCTCTCTCTCTCTCTCTCCACCCACCCACCCACACCCACACCCCCCCACACCTACCAGCACAGCACCCCTGCACCCCATCAGTCCCATATCATGCTAGGTCACATAGGGGAGGGTGTGGCTGTGTGCAGGTGTTTGTGCCCGGTGTGTGTGGTAGCAGACGAGTTGGATTACAGGAAAAAGACAGTGAGAGAAAGAACAGCATTGGCAAACACACGTGGCAGAGCATCTCGATGCATTGGAGCGTTAGAGTGCAGTGCTATTTTTCATGTTGATGTTGAACCCCGTGTACTCACAATGTGGCGTGCAGCAAATACTCCGTCCACTATCGCGCAGCAGAATGCAGCCACCACGCCAAAGCTGATGAACACGATGGCTGCCACCAACTAGAAGCAGAATGCAAAGGGGTATGGACCCTCAGCCTTGCCTGAAGACCTTTCCAGAAGTCCCAGCTTGGTGCTAGGATCCCACACACACACTGCCCCCGACCCTGCCACCATTCCAACTCCGTCCCTGCGACTCAGCCCTGAACAAGCCTGGCCCTCCAGACTCTAGGAGAAAGGGACAGAGGGAAAGAGAGAAGGAAGGAACAGGAAAAAGAATTCCTGTATAAACATCATGGATTCTCCCATGTGTTAGCACCTTTGAAACCACACACATGCCCCTCTCCTTCTCTGTAACTGTTCTCTCCATTCCAGGCTGTGTGAGTTTGGTGCTCAGTCCTAGAAGACATGTGGCAGTGCCTGGAGAAACGTGCCATCCTGTACCATCCAGTCTCCATGTGGGGTAGAGGTTGGGAGGGACTGACAGCAGCACAGAAGAACCTGGGGACAGGTGCAGCCCCAGATCAGGGCCACGGCACCCAGCGCCCCTTGTCCTGGGAAATCTGTTGACCATGTTCAAACTGTTGCTTGGAATCATGGCCAGGGGTGGCTGCAACAACCCAACCAGGACTTCCCCAACTCCCAGGCCAGTCAGATCCCTCACTCCATCTCCATGTTCATCACTGCAGCTTCACATGAATCTCCCCTCAAATCTCCACATTGGTGCTGAATATACCTTATGAGATAAACCACTTCCATTCTTCATGCTTGGATATACAGGTATTCTTGGATATATACAGAAAGGGAGAAAAGGAGAAAGAGAGGAAGAGAGGGAGATGGAGAGGGAGAGAGAGACACAGAGACAGAGACAGAGAGTAGAGACAGAGAGACAGAGAGAGATGGAGATGAACAGACAGGCAGACAGGGAGATATAGATACCAGGAGACACTGAAAAAGCGAAAGTGCTACTGGGGAGGAGGAGCTTGCAGCCCCGTCTAACAGGTAAGTGTGTCTACTCTTCAGTTCCAGAGAGAACAGCGATGAAGGAAGCCTGCCCACCCCCACCCCTGTATCAGGACAGACGCCGGGCACAGGCCTGCCTTGAACAGGGAAGCAGGGTTCTCATCCACAGAGAAGACTCAGCACACAGCTCCCTGAGGCACACAGCCATGAGAATTTGTTTTCCAAAGCAACCACACAGATCGGACACAGAGGCAGTCACCTGTGACAAACTTGATGCTGTCTACCACACAGGGAGGGTAGAAAGAGGACAAGGTGACACGCCAAGGAGAGAGCCTGGTGGGGGCAGCCTGGTGTGAAGCCCAGCCTGCTGTGGTCTTCCAAATGTCATGCCGCACGGGTCCTCTGGACTGCAGCTCAGCTGCTTATCTGTCTGATATCCCTGTGGAGTGCACCTGCCTCACTGTCCAACAAGACCCTCACTCCTGTGCTCAGCTCCCCCGGGAACTGGGGTCTCCTGGGACCAGAGTTGCTATGCACTTTTCTTCTCTCCAGGCCTCACATGGGGGATGGTCAGGTGACGGAGAAGTGGACGGGAGATGAAGCCTGAGAGGCTGATGCACCTCTGGTGCCCCCACTCCTGCTGGGGTGGCTGGCCTTCGGAGGGGCTGTGGACAGTGCAAGTGGGCTATCACCTCCCGTCCCTCCCCTCAGGAGCATGGGACTGGCCTGCAGCACCTCAAGTGCCAGCCTTCTCTTGGACATGACAAGTGTCCTCGCTGGTGACATGCAGGTGCTCTCAGCACTGAGCCCCTGAGATCCCGGAGACACCCCCCACCCCTGCTTGAACACCTTATCCTACCTCGCTGGGCCAAGACCTTTGGGTGGCACCAGCTTTATAGGAAGTTGAGGGCCCACCTTGCTCATGAGGTTGGGAAATCACCTGGTGTGGAGACATTGGGTAGAAGGGGAAAAGACAAGCCAGACCGCTCTGCTCCCAGCACTAAAAGGAAGAGGAGAAGCAGCCTCTCAGCCTCCACATCCAATGCCTGGTCCCTTGCAGGAAGTGATCCTCATCTGTAAGCTATTTCTGACAATCTCGGTAGTCCTACATCAGTGGATTTTACTTTGGGGGGAGAGGGGGGGCGGAAGGGAAGTACTGGAGCTTGAACTTAGGGACAAGGCGTTGTCTCTGAACTTCTTTTTGCTCAATTATAGTGCTCAACCACTTGGGCCACAGCTCCACTTTCAGCTTTTTGGTGGTTAATAGGAGATTAGAATCTCACAGACTTTCCTGCCCAGGCTCACTTTGAACCACAACCCGTAGATCTCAACCTCTTTGGTAGCTGGGGTTACAGGCCTGAGCCTCTGTCAGTCAGCATCAGTGAATTTTACGGCACATTCCAGCAGGGTCCTGGGAGACATGTCTGTGTGTGAGCGTGAGTCGGTGTAAGTGGGCAGGGAAATCAGCACTTCACAATCTATTTTTCCATCCCTGGTCTTGTGCGACCAGCTAGATTTGTAAGCTATTAGTAAAAATGGAAGACTCATGTTTCTGTTTGGGTGGGGAGTGCAATAACGCATTCATCAGTAGAGAAATGCCGGTGCTTCCACCAGAGACTAACACAATAACGGGCAGAGATAATGGTGAGGCCTTTTCCAATGATTAGATTCCACCCCTCAGAGTGGACAGAGCAAAACATGCACACAGGAGATGGTGCTGAGTCTGGGATTTGCCTCAGCAGCTCCTGGAAGGGAGGGGTGTGGGGGATGGAAGACCAGCCTCACCCTGACCTGGACCCCACTCCTGGACCCTGCTTGGTGACGGGCAGCCTGGTGCTGACCTGAACCCCACTCCTGGACTCTGCTTGGTGGCAGGCAGCTCTGTGCTGATCTGGATCCCACTCCTGGACCTGCTCAGTGACAGGCAGCCTGGTGCTAACTTGGACCCTACTGGCTACTGGGCCTGGGGTCCATTTCACTGGTGCAATTTTAAAACAAAAATTAAGAAGAGTGTCCTTCTGTGCCTGGAGCCATCTGAGACGGCATTGCTCTCTCTAGCTGCATTTCTCAGCTGCTCAGCACCTTGAAAACAACTTGAACAGTCTACCAAATCCACATGCTCAGAGACACCTGCTCCCTGGCACTACACTGAACGGGGGCCCAGATGCCCAGCTCTCTCCTGCCCTGCCCGACACACTGCCCAACACAGAGCACCACCTTTCCCCAGGGCTCAGGCAGCACAGCCGGCCTAGGTTTCAGCTGCTGATATCAGAGTTGTGCTACACTGAGACCTTTGCTTGGAGCTCAGGCTAGAAGATACGTACCTAGGGAGATACTGGGGGGGGGTCACACAGGGGCCACACGCACAGCCCGCCAGGGGACCCAAGGACCCAGTGGCCACCCTGTGTCCACCCTGAGCTGGTCTGCTGTCCTGGCCACTCCTATCACCTCTGCCCCTGTGCTCCTCCCTGCAAGGCAAGCACGGGAGCTCTGTCTCCAGACTGGACAGGAAGGGGTGAAACTGTAGGTACCTTGTAGACAGAATCCCAAGAACACCACAGGAAACCACAAACGAGGCCGCAAAGTGGCATGACACAGGCTGAATTTACAGCCCATGAATAAAACTAAGTAACCACGAAGCCAGGAGCCGGCTGGCTCATGCCCGAAGTCCTAGCTACTCAGGAGGCTGGGACTGAGGATCACCTGTCGCAGCCAGCTGGGTCAGAAAAGCCTGGAGATTCCTATCTCCAATTAGCCACCAAAACACAAAACTAAAGCTGTGGCTCAAGTGGTAGAGCACTAGCTTTGAGTAGAAAAGCTTAGGGGCAGTGCCTAGGCCCTGAGTCAAGTTCCAGGACTGGCACAATCAACCAATCAATCATCAATCAATCAATCGATCGATCAATAAAAACAAAAAACACCTAAGTAAACAATGCCTTCCACAACAGCTTCAAAAAGAATAAAACAATGAAGGATACATTTAACAAAAGCACAAAACCTGCCCTCCAAAACAAAAAATCGTAAGTCCAAGTTAACAGGAAAGTTCCTGAGAAACTGCTCTGTGAACGTCTGGCTCCTGGTGGCTGCTCCAGTCCCCGGTAGCCATCTCTGAACTGCCAGGGTCTAAGGCCAGTGCCCATGGTAGCATCTGCTGTCTGCCATCTGCTGTGGGAGCCAAGGTCTCCCAGCTCTTTCCATTCTACCTCTTCTCTTTCGTCAGCCGGATGGGCTGTTAACTCAGCCACCTGGGTCCAGGACTGGGCACTCTGGGGCCTGGGGTGCTGGCCACAGCGGGGACCCTAACTGTGGTCATAGTGCCCTGGGTCAAGTGACCACCACTTCACCCTCCCTCCCCCGGAAGAGACGCTCGTGTTCTCACCATTTGTCTTCTGTTCTCCACTAGGTTGACGCCAGTGAGTCCCAGGAAAGCCCCGAAGCCCAGCTGAGACAAAAGAAAAGTGAGAAGTGCTTAGTGATGCCACTAAAGCACTATTCCAGGGTGCAGTGCTCCCTCTTCAGGAAGGGCTGCCCTCTCCACACGTGGAGCCTCACACACAGAGCCCTGAACACGGAGCCCACACACAGAGTCCCACACGGACCCCACACACAGAGAGTCCTGCACATGGAGCCCACACATAGAACCTCACATACACACACAGCCCTGCATACAGAGCTCACACATGGAACTTCACACACAGAGTTCTGCACATAGAGACCACACATGGAACCTCTCACACACACGTCCACACATGGAATCCCACACACAGAACCCCACACAGAGCCCATATACACAGAGTCCTGCACACAGAGCCCGCACATGGAACCTCTCACACACACACAGCCCTGCATACAGAGCCCACACATGGAACTTCACACACACAGTCGTGCACACAGAGCCCACACATGGAACTTCACACACACAGAGTCCTGCACACAGAGTCCACACATGAAACCTCACACACAGAGTCCTGAACATGGAGCCCACAAACAGAGAGTCCTGCACATGGAGCCCACACATGGGACCTCACACACAGAGCCCTGCACACGGAGCCCACACATGGAACCTCACACAGAGCCCCACACGGAGCCCACACATGGAACCTCACACAGAGTCCTTCACACGGAATCCACACATGACACCTCATGCACAGAGTTCCACATAGGGCCCACACATGACACCTCATGCACAGAATCCCACACAGAGTTCACACATGGAACCACACACACAGAGTCCTGCATATGGAGTCCACACATGACACCTCATGCACAGAGTCCTGCACATGGAGCCCACACATGACACCTCATGCACAGAGTCCCACATGGGGCCCACACATGGAATCTCACACACAGAGTCCCATAGCAGTGCTGCGTGCTAGACCCCTTGCCCTGCTGAGCGGGAAGTGGGATGGAGGATGGACAGGATAGCCCGGTCTGCTCTACAGATGCCCTAAGAGCACCTTGGTGGAGTCTCTCGCCCTCTCCTTGCTCCACTTCTGAGAGCCTGAATGACATGGCTGCCTGAACCCTGTGTTAGGGTTCCTTCACCTTTGTCTCCCAGCTGACCATATTCTCCAGTTCCAGGAATCTGGATGTAGACCCCATTGGGAACATTACCCCAGTAATTCCAATGGGGACTTGCAGCATGGGGTATGAGACCTGTGGCTCACCACCTCTGTGAAGATATGGAGCAGCACGAAGTGCGAGGCGTGAGGCTCATCACCCCGTGTGGAGCCCCCACCCACCCACCCTGGCCCAGGACTTACGATGATCCCTGGGTAGTAGCCCCCCACAGTCACGTTCTCTGTCCTGGTGTTGGCGGCCAGGCCGACAGTCAGAATGAGGGCAGACACCAGCAGCAAAGACCCCAGGAACCACAGGGAGATCTTCTTCCTCCTGGCGAAGCCTTCTGTGAGGAGGACCAAAGGAGGACTGTCAGCCAGGCATTCCCCCATTGGGTGGCTTTTCCTGGTACCAGCAGATCAGAAAGCCTTTCCCTCCGCTCAGGTCCCAGAAGCCGCAGCCCCCACATCCTCCTTCCGACCCTCAGGTGCCAATGCCTACCAAGCCCCTCGGACAGCCCCTTCCCATGCTTCCCTCCCTGCTCTGGGAGCAGCCTGTGGCTGCCTCTTGTGCCCCCGGGGGTCACTGCCCAGGACTAGACTCTACCTCCAGGAGGTCCCTGGCTGCTCCTCAGCTCCAGGCCACTCCTCCCTCCCTCTGCCCACAGCAAAGGTGTGGCAGAGGTGTGGCTGTCTGGCCAGAGGATCAGCAGAGCTCCTGTCCTGTCTGCCCTGTCCCACCCCGCAACTCTGATTCTCCTGGGGCTTCATCCTCGTGACTTGCAGCGTTCACCAGAACACTGTGAACACAGAAACTGCTCTGGTCACTCTGAAGTCTGCAACCTCAGCACAGAGCCCTGCTCCACCCCAAAGAAAAGACCCAGGCCCAGCCAGGCTGGGCAGCCACTGCCCAAGCCACCCTCCTTCCTGCCCAGCCCCTGGACCCCCGCACATCCAACCATCAGCATCCAAGGAGTCTCGTGTCTGGACTGGCCTGCCCTGCAAGAGGAGGCTGTGACTGGGAAGGAGTTGTTCCTTGCTCTTCCCCAGGACCACCCCGTGGGCCCCTCGCTCTTCCCCAGTCAGCTGGGGGAGGTGGGGCTGCTGGGTATGACCCGACCCAGTTGGGAACTTCACGTGAGGATAGCAGAGCAGAGAGACTGCTGGGGACCCAGCCCCACACTTCATCAGCTGACAGAATGAAGTCCCTGGACCCTCAGCCCTGCCTCTGCACAGCCTGGACCTCAGCCTCTGCACAACCTGGACCTCAGCCTCTGGACACCCTGGACCTCAGCCATGCCTCTCCATAGGCTGGTACCTGCAGCAAAGTAAACTCAACTTTCGTAGACTAGCCCATCCCTACACCCCTCAGCCTGCCTTCCGGGGTGGGCTGGGGAAGAAGGAAGCTCCCAGGACTCCTCACTGCAGCCCTTTGCTCCAGACATACCTGCCCTCCCAATCAGAGCTGCAGAACTGCAGGGGACTCAGCTCCCAGGCAGCTGGGCTGTCGGATCTCACAGAGAGGAGGAAGAAGCAGAGTGGCTCCCTCCTCCAAAGCTCTGACCATTAACATTTTGTGCATGAGCCTGTGTGTGCATGCATGTATGTGAGCCTATGTGTTCATGCATGCATGTGAGCATGCACATGTGTGTGCACGTGTCCACGTTTGAAGGCAGCCTGCATGCCTGAGTGCCCCTCACTAAAATCCCCATTGTGTCAGCACCTTGAGACCTCTCCACGGTCTAGAAGGTTTGTGGCTAGCGTCACACTTCTGTGATCCCATCAGCAAAGCCCAATGGGCAAGTCAAGGTTACAACACCAAGGAGAAGCAACAACTCAGACACAAATTCCACGGAGCTGTGGGTCATTGCTCAGCACCACTCAGCCAACCTGAAAGCCTTTTTATACAGCCTGCCCAGCAAGGGTGACTCTCCCAGGAGCAGTAGGTTGGGCCAGCCTCTCCAGGCACAGCCTCTGCCCTCCTGCAGATCCTTGGGAGAGAGCTAACCACTCTCTCCGTCTGCTCACCAACAAGTAAACCACCAGCTCCCACTCTCAAGCCAGGGCTTCTGTTGGTCTCAGGCCACCTGGACCCTGGTCCCAGGACCTGTGTGGTGTCAGGAAGGTTCCCACAGGCCAGACCACGCTGTCTGTGATGTGGTCTGCGAGGCTCTGTATATGGATGCGGCCATCAGCTTCCAATTTGCAGTGCAAAGCAGGTCTTTCCCCTAGAGATTAGGTTTATTTCCAACATCCACAGGGTCCTTGCGCCCACCCAGCCCAGCCATAGAACCTTCCTCAAATATCACTCATAAATGTCACTCATGAACACACGCAAAGATCTCATTCATCACCACATACACACAAACCTCCACACCCCACACTCACACCACACACACAACACACACATACGCGCACACGCCTACATCCCAGTGCTTTTCTTAGTTATTCCTTCTTTCACTCCACACACACTTAACTGAGCATCTACCACACACAGGCAGCCTTCTTGAGCCAGATCAGTGGTACCCTGTGGAGCTTGCATTTGTGAGAGAGGAGTCCCGCGTACACAGACAGGTACTTGGTGTAGGGCCTAGGAGATGCCATATTCAATGGAGAAAGATTAAGAAGGCCATAGGCCAGGGAGAATTCTGGAAGAAGGGACCTGTGAGGAGGCAACGGAGAGCCATCCTGTGAGCCTGGGAGGTGGCAGCCAGGCGGCTGGTGAGCTGTCCTGGGGCAGGAGGAATGGGCAGAAGAGACAGAGGCAGACCTTGAGCCTGGATGAACTCTGACTCCCGTGCTCTCTCATTCCCTTTGCTCACCTGGAAATCAGAGAGGTGCAAGCTGAGAGGAAGGAGGAGAGACAGAGGCTGTCGACTGTGGGGTGGAGATGAGGAGCCAGCAGGGAGGCAGGGGCATAGTGTCCTGGGGGACCCTGACCCTGGCAGGAGGCCCCTCAGCCGTCGCACACCCTCACCGCCCCCTGGGACCCGCAGAGCCCCAAAGCCAGCCTGCACTTGCCCTTCCTCTGTCTGGGCACCCTTCAGGGCAGGCCACCTGCAGGGCAGCAGCCCCTGAGAACGAGTGAGATTCCCAGCAGCGTCTGCAGAGATGGGTAGAGAGTTGTTAGCAAGGAGGGAGGAGCAAGTAGAAAAGCTCAGATCCCAGGAGTCTGGGAGAATTGGGTGCCTGACATCCCCTGACACCCCCGCCCCACAGCCACCGTCTGTCCAGGCTGTTCGTCTGACCCTGTGCCCAATGACCAGGCCGCTGCCTGACCCTGGGCAAGGCCTACCCCACTGTGAGTCACAGGTCAGCCGCATCACACCTACCCTGACAGTGCAGACAGTCCCCACCAGGTGAGGGAGGGATGCTTGCCTCTGAGCAATGTGGACATCAGCTGGTGGTGTCTTCCCAGGGCATGGAAGGCACTGCATGCACATGCTATGCACCTGCCAGCCCTGAATAGATGATTTCCAGACCTCCTCCAACTCCCTGGCCTGCCCACTCATCCTCCCCCACAGCCTGACACTTCCTGCCTCCTTTCCACATTGGATCCTCAGTCACCTCAGAACTTCTCCCCAGCATCTCTCACGGGTCTGCAAACAAAAACCCAGCCCTAACTGGGGCTAGAAAAGACTATGTAGGTAATAATGACATTGTTATAAAGAAAAGGAAAATGTGCATTCTATGCTAACAATTCTTTTTTTTCTTTTCATAAAAGCAATAGCCACTTTTGTAGAATATTTTAAGGCACAGAAAAATACAAAGGAAACAATGATGCTTATAGTAATTCCACTACTAAAATAATAGGCACATATATACATATACACATACATATATATGCTCATAGTGCTTTTTTTGGGGGGTCCGGTCATGGGGCCTGAACTATGGGCCTGGGCACTGTCCCTCAACTCTTCAGCTCAAGGCTAGCGCTCTACCACTTGAGCCACAGCGACACTTCCGGCTTTTTTTTCTTTTTGCTTATGTGGTGCTGGGGAATCAAACCCAGGGCCTCATGCATGCAACGCAAGCATTCAACCACTGAGCCACCTTCCCAGCCCCTCATAGTGCTTTTTTAAAGCATTTTTTTCCTTAAATTGAGACATATTTTATAGTCTTTTCCCCCATCACTTAACTTTTGCTGTTTATTTGAAGCCAAGACTCAGCTCTGTGATAAGAAGAGAGGAGAGAGGGAAGGAAAGAGAGAGCCCTTGTTAGGTGGAGTCCTGCTCAGTGCCAGTTTTAGAAGGTAGCGACTCAGAAAGAAGGGCTGATATGAAGTTACAATGCATCGCTTCTATATTTTGGAAGCTGGTGAACGGTGGCTCCAAGGTTATCACATAGGCCAGGGCCCTGAGGCACAGGAGCGTTCCAATAATGCTTAGGGCTCCCTCACAAGGGCCCCCCTCTCTAGCTCTCTGGCACCCTGCAGACACCACTGAAGCCCTGCTCATGCCTGCAAGAGCTGCCGTCCCTCTCTCCCTCCTTTCCTCTCTCCCACCATTCCGCCGATCCTCTCTCCTGCCGTTCCTCTCTCCTGCCATTCCTCTGCAGTGGCTCTTCCCCCCAGCTTTCTACTTTCGTATTTTCAACTATTTAGATGTTTTAAGAGCAAGAACATCTATAACTGAATTTTACAGGACTAAGAATTTGAACAAAGTTATCAGACAGATGTTCTTGTCCTCAGAAGAGTTTGTCTCTCTCATCTTCCTAATTAAGTGCTCTGCACATCAGTTATGCCCAAAATAACTAATCGAAGTCTGCCTGGTAGACTGTCCCTCAGGCCTGGGAGGCGTAGACTCTATGCTGCTCCTTGCTGACCCGTCCTTGTGATGCTGAGTAGATCTGGTGAGATCCAGACAGATCACAAATGGTCCAACTCATTTCTCAAGAGCAGGTTCATTGTCCCAATGAGCCATAATCAACCATGATTAACCAGCCATTCCCATGCCCTCTCACCCCTCTTTCCCAAGTCTGACTTCCCCCCAAACTGCTACCTAATCAGAACCAGGAGGGTGCTGTCCACAGCCTGTACTGAGCTCCAAAGTCGAGCAGGCCTGGAAGCCAGGAGTCTTGGTGGGAGCAGAGAGGAGCAGCTAAGAGAGGCAAATGACACAGGAGCATCATGACTGGGAGACCAAAAAGAGGGCCCCAGCCATAGTACCTGCAGTGAACACAGCACCTGGTGCCAGCATCAAGAGAGGAAGACAGCCCAAGACAAGAAAGTAGGGCATCCTTGGAACTGCTGCTGGGTGTCAGAGGTGTGCTCAGGTTAGGTTTTAGAGGGAGGAAGGGTTTCCCTGAGAGAGAGACATGATGGAACTGAACCCTGTGCTTGCTCCTGCCACCCTTGATTCTGCTACCAGTGATGGGAGGTAGCGTGCTCTGGGCTTCACTTGCATTGTTTGAGTCAGGCCTGCAGTAAGTCTCACTATAGGCACTGTGAGAGTGAGCAGATGCTAAGCTCCCAGTGGAGAAATGGAACAGTACATGGCTTCAGAGACTGCTCAGAGTCAAGTCCCAGCTCCCATGCACATTTTATAAACGTGCAACCTCCACTCCCGGGGCTGGCACTAGCATCGGAATGACCAGGCAACCACCAACAGGGGTTCTCCAAGAGAGCACTGAAAAGTTCTGCCGCCCGAGCAGTGACAGCCACGGCTCAGTTCTCTGCGCAGGGCTCCCTGAGTCTCATCTGGCTCAGGTGCACCAGAAAACCTCAGCACACCACCTGGTCACCCTCCACTGCCCCGCTCTCCAGGTCCTTCTCCTAGCCCTCCTCCAGCCCGGGCACTGGCGCACCTGCCCATCCACTGGGAGGAATGAGGACCCCATTCTCCACTGGGTAGAGCCAGGAGGAAAAGGCGGAGGGCTGGGCAGGGCTTCACATCAGCAGCTCCCTCAGCAGCCCAGACCTCTGGGTATGCATCATCTCCCGGGAGCCAGGACAGTAGGGGAGAGTCCTGGTGACTTGGGCGGATCGCTTGAGACCAGAGGGTCAAGATCGGACTCCCACTGCTACAAAACACACCATGTGGGTCCACCCGCTGCAGAGGCAGAGTGACACCCAGCTAATGTAAGAAGGGCAAGAAAAACCCTGAGGGTTTCACCTATAGCCCTGCCTGGGTATTGAGCAAAGAAGCATGAGGTATAAAATACTCACAGCTCCGTTTAGCCATGCTAATCCAGTCTCTTGAATACAAGCCCCACTCCCAGCATTGTGTTTAGGCTTGAAGTTTCTTATTTTCAAACCATCAAGTCTTTCTTGTATAATAACAATAACCAACTAATAAATCATCGGTTATAATTAGACACTTATTAGGTAATGAAAACACTTGTGAATTGGTTTGGTCCTGGAGCATTTAGAAGGAGAGCCAGGATGGTTTCTTTTAGGAAGGAAGCCAGATTCCTTCATTATTTAACCACAATAGCCAATCTGGATTATAAAGATACATTTCAAAAGTTCATAAAGATTGTCATAGCATCGCCTCTGAAGGAAAATGGCTGCACCTTTATCTTTTCTTTTCTGAAGGGTCCCTTGTCCTCTGCCCTTTAGGAAAAATCTGGCCACCTCTTGGTAGAGCACCAAAGCCAACTGGAAGCTGGGCCTGCAGCAGGTTTCCTGTTTCCTGTTTTCTCCCAGGCCTGATTTGGGAAATCAAATAATGAGAGTTTCCGTGAGTGCCAATGGGAACAGGGTGTTCTGGAATCAACTGTCCTGGAACTGCATTAAGCACCTCCTCACCTTCTAGAAGGAAGGAGCTACCTGTTTCTTTGAGACAAACACATCCCAGAAAATGTTGGAGATTGGAAAGGTAAGGTAACAGAGCTGGACAAGTTATGCTGTTTGGGCTGGCCCATTTACAAGCATCAGTTTGTTCTTCATAATAAAATATGAGAGGAGAAATAGGGAAGACAGACAACACAGTCAGAGACAGACAGAGACTGAGGGACAGACAGACAGGAGAGAATGAATGGAGGGGGGATAGATAGTAGATGGATAATGGACAGACAGGTGAGTAGTCTGTGCCAGAACAAAATAACACAAAGACAAGCTCAAGAAAGTTGGGAAGAACCCCACCTCAGTGTCTCTGGCACCCCCTTCCTGCAGCCCACATTCAGCCTGCAGGAGCCTGAGAAGAAGCCAGAGCCCCACTCACCTGTGGTATCCAGCAGCGCCAGGGGTCCAGGCACCGGTGGCGGGAGCGGCTGCATCCCTGGGGCAGAGCTGCCCGGGCAGAGCCCACGGCAGCTTCTCTTCCTCCTCCACCCTTGTGACCTTGACTGCCCAGTTCCCCGCAGCAGCCCCAGGAGCAGCGGCCAGCGGTACCACCCTATTCCACCTCCAGTTCCTCCACTCCCTATCCCCTACCCCTGCCCTAGGCTCCCTTGCTCCCTTCTCCCTCTCCCTCCTGCTCTCTCTACTGTCTGTCCCCTCTCCCTTCCTCCTCTCTCTGCTGTTTGTCTGTCCCCACCTCCCTGGTTCCCAAGCCACTGCCCCGCCTTCTCTCCTTTGTCCCTCCACCCCTCCTCCCTGCCCTCCCTTGCCTCTCTCTTCCCTGCTCCAAAGCCTCTGGCCACCTTCAGTCCTGTAACTGAGTCCTGAGAAAGGAACTGGAGCCCCAGCGCTTGCCTCCGCTGAGGTGGAAGACACACCCAAGGCGGGGTACAGCTGGGGCAGTGCTATTCGTCTGACCTGCGTCCTCCCAAGCTGCCCACAGCCAGCAACGGCTGCTCTGGTGGAAGCAAGGAGGCCCCCAGGCTGCAGACAGGGTGTGCCCACAGCCACCCGCCCGCCCGGCTCCTGGCTGCTACTGAGTTGGTTAGGTGGGTTCACCCCCTGCAACAGCACGGGGACTCTGGGTCTGCGGCTGCACACAGCACTGAAGCCCATGCGTTGCACACACGCAGTCCACGCCACTTTGCACCTGGAGGTGTGGGTCTGCCTCTGTCAGCACTCTCCTGACGTTCCTGCCACACACCATATCTGCAGCACCAACGCTGTCCTTGGGGAAATCTGCTCTGGGAGCAGGGGAGGTCTGGAGGAGAGAGTTCACTTGGAGTAAATGTTGGTTTGGGGGCATTCCTTTATTTTGTATTTTACTTTTTTGTTATCTTCAAATAGTTGTACAAAAAAGTCTCCTTCAGCATGCCAATTTACGAGCACCCCTTCTGCAGTCATCCCGCCTCTCCTGCCCCCATGGGTGCCCTCAGGTTACAATTCACGAGCACAGGCATCTGGATCAATGCCGCCCTTCCATGGTTATCCCCGTCTCTCCGACCTCAAGTTACATTCATTTATTTTTTAAAAGTTGTGTGCAGTGGGGAGTGTAGCTTGGTGGTAGGGCACTGCCTAGTTCAAGGTGTTAGAACATGGGTTTGATTTCTAGCACCACAAAAGTGAGAGGAAGGGAGAGAGATGGAGAGCAACAGCCATCCCACCAAAAAGAAAAAAAGAAAAAGATACGTGATTGACCAACAGCCCAGGGGCAAGGCGAGCGTCTCCCCTTCATTCTGGTGGCAGATGTGAACGCCCGGTGAGGATGATGCTGATGGGAACTTAGGGATCTGTGCTCCCCGCTGGTGGCTGTACCTGCTGCGGCCTCCTGCAAGTCCCTCTTTAGCAGGTGGCCAGGAGTTCCACCAGCCAGGCCTCTGGGACACGCCCAGAGCAGATGGTTAGCTTAGCCTTGAGAAGAGGAGATGAGGATCTGAACCTTGACCCTCATAGAACTATCTGCAGATTTTTTTTGTATGATTTCCTCTGTCCTGAGCCCAGACCAGACCATTTCAACCAGCATGTCCAGGAAAAGAGTGGCTGAGGGAGTCCTGCCTTTCTCCAGGCTGCCCTTCAGTGGAGAAGCCTGCACATGGGGAGGGGGTACAGAGAATGCTCTCCACTGTGCATCACAGCTGAACCCAGCTGCCTCCCATGTCCAGGAGACCTAAGCTTTCCAGGATGCTGAGTGCAACTGGTACACCCTGGGGGAGTAGAGTCAGCCCCCCACTCCAGACATGTAGGGGGTCCCGAACTGAGTCTGCCAGGCACTGGTGGCCCTGGGCAGAGGGACGTCACTCAAGGGGACCTGAGAAAGTATGGAGACAGATGACTCTGCAGGGGCCATGGAGGGACAGAGGCAAGGATGGTGGGCAAGGCTGTCCAGAGAGGCTGCGGGGAGCAGGGGGGCTTTGCTGGAAAGGAAGGTGGCAGGGACTTGGGCCTTCTGTGGGCAGCAGATGCCCAGTTGCCTGAGCTTGGAGTTCCAGGGAGAGGAACCGCACCAGGTGTTTTGCAGAATCCACAGCAATGTCTACAGGGTGGAATGGCGCCCCGGCAACACCACACGCCTCATGGGAAAGCAAATTCTCCTGGCCCAGGTGTGCTTCTGAGCTTCCCTGTGATCTGCACAACACCAGCCCCATGTGGAGACCACAGACATGGACAAGACAGTCAGATCTGGAACTTCCAGATAGGGTCTCCACTGCTGAGCTCTGCCCCATGACCAAGAAGTGAATAGACACCCAAGCAAGCTTCCTGGAGGGAAGTCTGTGAGCTCCCTGTGTCTGAGTGTGGGGCTAACCCACCCTAACTGGTGGATGGTTTCCTTCTTCGTCTCAAAAAGTCTGCTCATTGGAAGTGGCGCTGTAGCTCAAGCGGTAGAGCGCTCACCTTGAGCTGAAGAGTGCAGGGACAGCGCCCAGGCCCAGAGTTCAAGCCCCATGACCGACCAAAAAACAAAACAAAAACTGCTCATGGGCTCTGGTGAGGTATTCGTGCTTTATCCAGTGCTCCTGAGAACTTCCTCCAGAGAGCCTGGCCCAGCTGCGAGCATCAGATCACCCAGACCCTTCAATGGTGCATCTCCTGAAGCCAGACATCTCTGAAGATGATCCTCACAGTATCCAGCCTCAGCCTGGCACCAGCATTCCAGGAAGCCGAAAGCAGCATGTCTGCAAAGTGCAATCTATATAACAGCAAGCCTTCAGTCTCTCCTGCACTGGACGAAGTCCAGGGATGGCAGCAGCACCCCAGGCACATACCAGGGCACAGCACAGAGACGAAGCCAGAGTCCTATGACACCCCTGGTGTGCAGCCTCCACTCCCAAAGCCCTTCTGAGGGCTGGGAGAGCTCACAGTCCCAGGGGATGAGGGCCCAGCACACAAGCAGGGCTTCTGCAGGTACAGAGCTGGACCTGGCAGCGGCACAGACCTCAGACCCCTGAGGTCCAGCTAGCCCGAACCCAGGGCCTGCTTATGCCCCACACTGTGACCACACTTTCCACATAGTACTTTATTGAATCCTCACGATGTGATACCATTTTCTCTCATAGAGAAATTGAAGCATGCAGACTTGTGGGGTTTCCAAAGACCAATGGTTGGTCAGGAACAAAAACAGGATATAAAACCAGGCAGGTCTGATCTAACATCGTGTATCTATGTGAATGCTGCCATTTAATTTCATCTTTAATTTCAGTTCATCGGCTGACAAGTATTTATTGAATGGCCTTTATATGGAAGATACTAGAGAGTGGCAACGTGAAGTCATTCAGACCTGCCTGTTAGAACGTCACCTAGATCACGACATATTGCAGAAGGCAATTAGAACAGCAGGTGACAGAGACCCTGAGGTGACAGTGACCCTGAGGTAAAAGTGACCCTGAGGTGACAGAGATCCTGAGGTGACAGTGACCTGAGGTGACAGAGATCCTGAGGTGACAGTGACCTGAAGTGACAGAGACCCTGAGGTGACGGAGACCGTGAGGTGACAGAGATCCTGAGGTGACAGAGACCCTGAGGTGACAGAGACCCTGAGGTGACAGTGAGCCTGAGGTGACAGAGACCCTGAGGTGACAGAGACCCTGAGGTGACAGAGACTCTGAGGTGACAGTGACCTGAAGTGACAGAGACCCTGAGGTGACAGTGACCTGAGGTGACAGTGACCCTGAGGTGACAGAGACTCTGAGGTGACAGAGACCCTGAGGTGACAGAGATCCTGAGGTGACAGTGAGCCTGAGGTGACAGAGACTCTGAGGTGACAGTGACCTGAGGTGACAGTGACCTGAAGTGACAGAGATCCTGAGGTGACAGAGACCCTAAAGTGACAGAGACCCTGAGGTGACAGTGACCTGAAGTGACAGAGATCCTGAGGTGACAGAGACCCTGAGGTGACAGTGACCCTGAGGTGACAGAGACCCTGAGGTGACAGTGACCTTGAGGTGACAGTGACCCTGAGGTGACAGAGACCTTGAAGAGACAGTGACCCTGAGGTGACAGAGACCCTGAGGTGACAGAGACCCTGAGGTGACAGAGACCCTGAGGTGACAGTGACCTGAGGTGACAGAGACCCTGAGGTGACAGTGACCTGAGGTGACAGAGACCCTGAGGTGACAGAGACCCTGAGGTGACAGAGATCCTGAGGTGACAAGAGACCCTGAGGTGACAGAGACTCTGAGGTGACAGTGACCTGAGGTGACAGAGATCCTGAGGTGACAGAGACCCTGAGGTGACAGAGATCCTGAGGTGACAGAGACCCTGAGGTGACAGAGACTCTGAGGTGACAGTGACCTGAGGTGACAGAGACACTGAGGTGACAGTGACCTGAGGTGACAGTGACCCTGAGGTGACAGAGATCCTGAGGTGACAGAGATCCTGAGGTAACAGAGGTCCTGAGGTGACAGAGACACTGAGGTGACAGTGACCCTGAGGTGACAGAGACCCACAGGGAGACTGTGGGTACCACAGCCCCTTGGGGTGATCAGGACCTTGATGGGGACTCTGCTCCCAGAGGTTACATGTGCACACATCTCACACACACATGCACACACATGTTCACACTCACACCCACCCAGGCACACAGACTGGCTCAGAGTCAGACCTGGACAGATCTGTCCTGGTGGTTGGGGTGAGAAGGTCCACGCATGGCTTCCTGATGTCTCCCTGTGGCCCCTGCAGTCCCAGCAGGCTGGACAACAGGCTGGCCCCTGCTCCAGGCACTAGTCGAGCCTCTGTCCTCCAGCTTAGGGGAGTCATCTTGGTTTTCATCATACTGCGTTGCTGCTTGTGAAGCCTGTCTTCCCTCTTCTCGTTGCTGTTCAGGCTTTAGGCTCTGGAGAAACCAATGACGGGAAGACTTGCCAGAAGTGTATGCCGTCCCCAGCCACAGGCCACCAGCCTGAGCCATGAGTGTCACACCTCCCACCTCCCAGGGCAGGAAATGAGAGGAACTGGGTATGTGGTACGAGGGGATGGTGACGGGGAAAGGAGCAGGTCAGACTCAGAACAGTAGGTGCAGCCTGGCCTCAGCCAGGGAGGACCACCTTGTCCTTGCGGAGGGACTGGCAGGGGGCAAGAGCAGCCTGGCGGGGTGGAGGCAGGGTGGCCGGGGTCAGGGTGATGCTCTGCACCCCTCTGAATAGAACAGATTTGCTGAAGTGC